GAGCTTGCCGGGGTCGGCTGGCAGGCTGGTTCGAATCTGTTATGTACATCTCATTGATATTTTGATTATTTGGCTAATAATTTATTTTTAAAGGAAACTGTGTGCATAAAAGTGATGTCGTACCAAATATTTAACTAACTTCAAGGCCAACAATTCATTGAGTAGGCACACAGAACACATACACACTTTCAACTAGGTCAAAAATACTGCCACTGAAAATATTGGAATGAACAGAATGGCACATTGCCTCCCCTTCCCCTTCCCTCTCCCCTCCCTCCCCCCTCCCCCCAGTAAACAGAGATCCTTTTTCACAGCATGTGCCTTTAATTGCAAAACAGGAAGTAACATATTCCCCTGTTTTCCGTTTTGCAGTGGAGGGGGAGGGGGCTGGGAGTTTTCAGGTAAATTTAGAACTTCTGGTATTGAATCTTTTTAAAACAAAGTACGGTAGCTGTTAGTAACACTGTTTGATAGAGTTACAAGATCGAAGCCTGATAGTATCATGTTTCAGGTTTTGAAGGACCAATTTTTATTGGTAGTGACAGTTTCTGTTATAGAGCCTCAGTCTGTGACTGAAACTTTTTTCCCTTCAAAATCTCAGCTTTGTTTCTGACATTGGCATCAGGTTTCAGGCCCTTTTTTTTCTTTCTCACAAGTGCGTGCATTACTGTCAGTGTACTGTGTTTATGAAAGTCAGTGAAGGGCAAATTGCATTCATGGGGAGGACAATTTTTTTATATAAAGTGCCTATATTGTTTGGTAGCAGAAAAACATAAATACAAATCTAAACGAAAACAAGAGGTGTTGCAGCTGGGTTTCCGAAAAGTCCCCCCCCCCCAAAAAAAAAATCGGGATTGCTTATGTTGCTATTGTAGCATTGTGACTTTGGGCATGATCCCTGGCTACATGGCATATATACGTGTATGAGTTAATGGCTTCTGACGAGTGCCCCTTGAACAAAGTCATTGACAAAATGGGAATGGCCAACATACATTGTAGGGCTGGATAGCTCAGTTGGTAGAGCACCGGAATGGCAATCCAGGGGTCGCAGGTTCAAACCCCGCTCCGGTCAATTTCTTTGTTCATCTTTTAAATGACATTTTGTGTAATGCACCGGCCTATACTAGTCAGTTTCCCTTTGTGATTTATTTTAAATTATTTGATTAAATTAAATTTATTTAATTTAGTTGATTAAATTTAAAAAAAAAAATACACTGTTGTGTTTACTATTCAGATTCATGATTTTAGGCACCTAAGTTGCCACATTTTCAGAAACATCAAATTGTCTATAAAAATTGAGCCAAATTGAGTGTTTTCAGTCATTCCCCTGTTGTCTCATCAAGACCCAACATGTTTCTTAATCAGGCATGCAACTTTTCCTTGGATCCACTGATTTCCTCATGTTTTTTTTCTTCTCATGAATGCCATTACAAATTGAAAAATTCTGTACAAAGTCTTGTGTGGGTTGGAGTTTCGTCAGTTTTTTCCAAATTCCCAGTTATATGCCTGCTCTTTGGAATTGTTCCTTGTTCCCATTTGGTAACCCATTTCTTTGATCCCACCTCTGGCTAATGTCAATCTCCCCCTGAATAAAAACTGGCCTCCCCATTTTTTTTAACAGCCCCCTTTTGGCCCAGCCAGATTGTTAATCTCCGATTATGAAGGCCAAAGTTGGCCACATATTGCTCTACTTTTTTGAGTAGATGTCAATAGTTTAATAAGTCTCAATTGGCCATTTGTGGGGGTTGGGTGAACAATTTGAGTTACGACTTTGCAGTAACTTAAGAGTAGACAAGAAAGAATTTCATTCTGTGTACTGTCTTTGATGAGAAAAACAAGCGTCCAAAAAAAAAATCCATAGGAAAGGACCTTGGTTTTTAGGGGGGCCATGTGCAATATGCAACATTGCAAGCAGGCATGGGAAACTACAGTGAGTGGATGCGCGGAGTCTTGGGTAGGTTTGTGGGCGGCTGGGCATGACCTAAGTACTAGAGAAATAACGAGTTAAATTTTTTAATTTTAGGTTTTTTCGCTGGTTCAATAGAGCCTTTGTCTCACTGACTGACTGACTGACTGACTCCCCGACTGACTCCCCGACTGACTCCCCGACTGATTTACTCCCCGATTGACTGACTGACTTACTGCATGACTGACTTACTGCATGACTGACTTTCACGTTTGAGCTGGGCAGTGCTATCTTATAGGATCACCCCGTAATGCCAACGAGTGGGCTAATCCAATCCATTGTGTAGACCAGATGCATGAACAGACTTCCAGTGAATAGCCATTCTGAATCAATTGAATGGAATGTTGTACTCTGGGACCAGCTTTACACCAGGCTTACCTAGTTCCTTTCACAGATGCAACTTGTGTTCTTCCAGGGTTTTATTTTTCAGTGCTGTCTTAGTGTTTGTAAAAGCTCCAGAATATGTTATTTTTTTCACAAGTTTGCTAGGGTGGGATTCGAACCCACAGCTTCTGGTTAACTTATGCAGCTATCTTAACAACTCGACTGTACCACAGAGTTTATCTTCAAGATCAATTTTTTGAAGACCTATGCAAATTTTTAACATTGGGTTTAATTTTTGTACCAAAATGGGCATTAGATTAGACAGTATATAAATGAACAATTGCAAGTTTAATTTGCAGTTCTAGATAATTTTTTCTTGTTAAATCTAAACTAATATGTGTCATTGTTATGTGGCAATTGCGAATAAATCAAATTAAATAACTGTGTGCTGACTATGGTTCCATCAACTGAAAGTGGCGTGACTTTTCCTGTGAAATCGTAAAAACCTCCCAAAACTGTGCCAGTGTTCCACATTACCACAGCCTCTGCAGTTTGTCAACAAGTCACTTCCAACATAACAAGGCCATAGATTTACGACCAGGTAATTGGGCCCGTCTGGCTGCACAGCCCAAATACACCCATATATCACACCTGCTAATGAGTCTGTCCAGAAGGGGACCAGACTATTAGTACAAGGGGTAGCTTTATTACATACTTGACCCCTTAAAAATCCAGGGCAAGTATTTAGACATCAGGAAGGTATTAATTAGAAGGGGGCGGATTAAAGGGGTGAGGGTTTTTTTGGTAGAGGTTTGGTCAGTGCTGGAGAACTCTTGGGTATTGTTAGCAGTTTTAAACGCATGTAGGATCAGTTGATTTCTTGCATTTTGTTGGTTTCCTATAATAACACCGCTCAGAATCCAAAAGAGGAATGGCCAAAATATAACCTATTAAAGTTTCAGCTCAGTGGATATTACACTTTATATCGAGAAAACAGTGAAAAACCATGCACAACCTTTTTGATCACAAAACATGATTTTGTCCATAGCATGCACCCAGTATTTCCAAAAATCAGTCAACTGACTGATCGTTGGAAATCACCTACATGTACGGTTCTTGATTTCTTCTAAATGACAGCAAGCCAGACGAAATAATTTCAAGAGGTGTTTAGACCCAGTACAATTTTTATTGAAGTAAGCCTTTTGATAATAATTTGGTAGGTTGCTTTTGGGATATGATCCTACTTTTCTGCACACCAATATACCCATGTACGGTAGCTATCAGAAGGCAAGAATTACAGTGTGCACAAGTGTGACCATTCATTCTAATCCATCTATTTTTGCCCAGACCTGCCCGCAATATTGTCCCCACTGACAAAGCAATTCCAAAACTTGATTCTTTAAACAATCCTGACAAGTTTGAAGTTGACACACTTCGTTCAATTCCTACTCCAGTTTTATACCTTGTGACTTCACTTAAGGCCAAAAAACACAATAAAACTACCAATGCTAGTCCATAAATTTGGCATTTTTTTATATTTGAGCTAAGCTTGTTGGTATCTTAACAGTTCAGCGGGGACACCGGGCGATAAATCTATTACCAGTCCACTTTCTGAATAGCATTGAGCAGGGGGTTGGACGGTAATTCAGACCTGTCACAGCCGTCCCATGAATTACTGCCCAGCCAGGACACAAAAACTATTCCCTGGATCTGGCTGGGACCCAGGGAACCATAAAAATCATTAGGTGGCCTGGGAAATGTTGCTTTTTTTTTATAAACTTAGTATAAGGTCAGATGTGGTTTGGGAAAAAGGAATTTGATTGAATTAGGGCAATTAAGGGTCGGAGTAATTCCTGGAAGAAATTCAGGTTGAAATTCAAGTGCTTGGAACGTGAAGAACAGTATTGGACTTGTGAATGAAAGGTTTGGGGAAACACCATGTGCGAATAATTTCTCAAATAAGAGAATGGTTCTGAAAAGAACCAGAGGTTTATACTCGACGTTCCAGTCAGTATGCTCTGACCATCTTCTGTGAACTTTTTTTTCCTTTTCATTAAATCGACCAAAAAAACCCACTTCTGCTTGATGGGTTATATTCATATTTTAGGAGGTTGTAATTTTATAGTTGCTGATTCAGAAAATCTCAAAACCTCGAAATGGTCAGTTCCACAATGTACAAAGTAATGCCTGCTGGGTGCATCCATGTTTGTACACAAACCTATGGAGACCTAGAAATTGTGTACGTTTATTTGCATATCTGCATTTGTATTCCATATCGGTGCGTCATCGAAGCCGATACGCAAAAAAAACGAAACGCACGATCAGCAAAGGAGCGTGTCATTTTGCTCTGCGCAAACAGTGCAACGCGTGTGCATTTCCGCTGCAGCGTTGATTGTATTTATTTTTTTTTACCGTAACACGCGTAAGACGTTTGTGTACGTCCTACTTGCGCGTTGCATTTAGAGAACACTTTTAAAATTTGATCCATCTAATTTTATTATGTTCTACAAACATGCACATGAATTTAAAATGTCTGCGCCCAGGACGGCTTCAAAGCGTCTCCGCGTGCAAGAATGAGGAGTTGGCGCTCTAGTAATTTAACATAGAAAGATGGTTCCACTCCAAAATGGCTTCACGTAGCCTCGGTATGAGAAAAACTTTGTGGAAGCCGGTCTCATCTCATAAAATTAATTTTATTTTTAACCTGCAGTTAGCTGACGACACTTTGCAGCACTGCCTAAACGCCACCACCTCGGCCAAAATCCTTCTCCACAAGTGCCAGGACGTCCAGTTTGAGCTGGCCAGTGTGCTGGACGGGCGGGACAAGCGGCCGGACAGCACCTACGGCCGCAGCTACCACAGAGCCAATCGGCTCATCTCACAGGCCGCAGAGCTGACCGATCACGTCTGCGCCATCAACGAAGTCACAAGTCCACTTGTAGATGGTAAGTTTATAGCTATTGATATTGCTACAAAATGTTTTTGGGGGGTAGTACTTTCGTCAGTATCATTAATCATAGGCAAAAATTGTTTTTGGGGAGGCGGGGATGGGGATGATATATCCCCTCCCCGCTTTTCAACCCCCCCCCCCCCCCCCCACAGATTTTGTGGTGAGAAACCAAAAAAAAATTGCAGATGTACGAAATACTAGACCATGCATGCCGTTGACTAATGTGCAGCATGTACCTTTCTGGATGTCTAAAAAGATCAGACGTGTAATCCCGGTATCTTAAAAGATCATGTACACTCATCGTGTCTAAGCCAATTTCGTTCCAACCCCTCCCCCCTCACCCTAATGTCAAAGAATTTCAAGGATCAAAGAATCAAAAGACCCACAGTCCCAGTCATCTGGCTGGTCTGATGACCAGACATTCACTTGTGTAGAGCCACACTACGAGCGTCTGCGACCCCACGCTAGCCAATCTGAGTCGACATTTGAAACTTGTGATGTCACTTCCATCAGGAATGTGGACTATGTGGACAAAGCTGTTGATTAGTCAATTTGGCCGCCAACTTTTTTGTCCCGCAACAACGGTTTACAGAAGACCCGATAGAAGGCGCCCGCTGAATGGTCAGAATCTCGAGTTCAAGACACAGTCTTGTGTTTGTTTTGCATAATTAATCGCGTCTGATATATATCCTTAGCATGCTCTAGCCAATCTGAGTCAACTTTTGAAACTTGTGATGTCACTTCCATCAGAAATGTGGACTAAGCTGTTGATAAGTCAATTTGGCCGCCAACTTTTTTGTCACGCAACAACGGTTTATGGAAGACCCGATAGAAGGCGCCCGCTGAATGGTCGGAATCTCGAGTTCAAGACACAGTCTTCACAGTGTTTGTTTTGCATAATTAATCGCGTCTGATATATATCCTTAGCATGCAAATTGTATGCGACCCTGCACTAGCCAATCAGAGTCAACTTTTAAAATTGTGATGTCATTTTAATCAGAACTGTGGACTAAGCTGTTGATTAGTCAATTTGCTGCCTTGTTTTTTTGTAATACAACAATAGTTTACAGAAGACCTGACAGAAGGCGCCCACTGAACGGTACAAATCTCAAGTTCAAGACACAGTCTTGTGTTGGTTTTGCATAATTAATCGCCGAATCTGCGCAAATATCATAGACGCTTGTGTGCAAGCAGATATTCCATAAACTAGTCACTGGTTGGCACACAGACAAATTTGGCCGTAGGGCTGTGCTGAATGTACTGAATATTTGAATATTCAATCTTCAACCAAATATCCGAATAGCATTTTTTTTCTTCGAAAAATGTGAGCGGTCTCCAGCAGATGATGTAAAAGGTCCACAATGTTTAATCGTATCTGAGTGGTTTTATTAGTTGTTAAATGCCGCACCTTTGCTGAAAGCCACTTTCACACGTTATTTGAAAGCTTCTGTGAGGATAAGTAAGATTTGAGGCTTTGCATGGTGGAGATACTAAATAATGAAAGGTTTGCGGAAACACCATGTGCGAATAATTTCTCAACTATTAAGAGAATGGTTCTGAAAAGAACCAGAGGTATAAACTCGAGTATTCACTTTCTTAGAGTTTAGGCACTCTCCTGAAGACGGTCAGAGCATACTGACCGGAACGTCGAGTTTATACCTCTGGTTCTTTTCAGAACCATTCTCTTAGTTGAGAAATTATTCGCACATGGTGTTTCCGCAAACCTTTCATTACTTCTGTGAGGAGTATTAGCTGAAATTTCTTCTTCATAATCGGTCAAATATCAGCCATTCTGCTACCTGTTCTGTCTATTATTTTAGAAAGCTCTCTGACAATTTTCGACAATTTGTCAACTCAAATTACGATTGGCCTGTTTAGGTTGGAAAAGTGTTGAACTTGATCAGTGCATTTAAAACTAAATTTTCCAGTATTCCATCAAGTGTAGGCCTGGGCAAGTAGTGGATTTTTCTACTCGTAAGTAGTCAAGTACTCGCGAGTAACCGAATTCCCATAAAAGCAGAAAAATACGTTGGTGTGACGTAAAGTAACTTATAAGCAAATAGCTTGCAAGTCACACCACATTCTTCAGCACTGAGATATCCTTACTGTGCGACGCTTTGGGTCATTTACATGAATTTTGGGGTTTTTTTGGACGAATGGAATCCTAGGGAGAGAGAGGTGGAGGGAGTGATTCCCTGTTTGCTGGGGACGTATTAAGCCGTGAACCCTAAACCCTAAATTGCTACTCACGAGTACCTGCTTCTACTCACGCCAGGATGAATACTCAAGTACATGTACCGGTAGATGAAAAAAAAACGACAAGTAGAACAACGAGTGGCATAAACTGCTCGCAAGTACTCGAGTAATCAAGTTACTCGGCCAGCAGTAATCAAGTTCAAGTTGGAATAATCGAATTACTATTTTTTTTCAATGCAATGGCCTATCCCTTGAGGCCAATGCAAAAACAGAAAAAGAAACAGGATGACTAAACAATACTTCACAACAAAGCCCCTTGTGAAATAAATCCACCCCTTGCCAACAAAAATCATGAATCATCTACCGTAACTGAGCCAGCAAAAAACAAAAAAAATATTAGCACCAGACTGTCTCGTTTGCCAAACCAAGACCTGAAGATTTAAAGAACGTATTGGGGGGAGGGGGGTGAGTGTAAAGGGCTCAGACTGAATTCCCCAAGGGAATTTTCATCGTGTCATTCAGGATGTTGTTTTTATCCCCACAGGATTAGTCGCAACCGCCCCACGGGGCTTGTTTGTTTAGTGGGTAAAGCCAGGGGGATTTCCTCTTCCGGTTTGTGGTTGGGGGCAGGAGGGGGGAGGGGAGGTTGGTGAATGACTAGATGCTTTGGCTGAAGGGGTCGCTTGGAGTGATTCGAGGACCCGCTGGGAGTTGTTAAGGTGTGAAGTACTTGACAACAACCAGAAGGAGAAGGGGGGAGCGTGGAGAGATGAGTGTACACATGATGATGCACAATTTGTCATATCTAGTCTTTCATGACATGGCATAGCGGTCATGCATGAAAGTACTTTGAGAATCCTGTTTTTTCACTGTTTTTTTTTTTAAGTGTGCTCTTAAAAAACAACAAAATTTCTCCACAGCTCTAGGTCTAGATGAGTCAATTTTCAAGGCCTCAAGGTCAGAGGTTTTTCTCGTTGTCTTTGGATTTTATAAATAAAACATATTTTTTGACAAATGAGGTGTTTTTAATTCTCAAGTTGGTTTACATGGTTTAGGATGCAGTTTAGAGGGAAATATTTTAATTCTCAAGTTGGTTTAGGATGCAGTTTAGAGGGAAATCTCACCTTTAATTTCCCGTGGTTTTTGTCAACAAGTTGGTTGTTCATTCTTTATCATATTGAGCCAACATTTTTTTTTTTTTAAGAGAAAATATTAATTCAATATGAGCCTAGTGAGTTTTCCTTCACACTTTTATTCGGGGAAATATCAGGGAAAACTCAAGGAATATCGTTTTATGTTAGTGGCGGGAAACCTACTTAAAGGGTCCTAATGATTTTTGAAAAGCCAAACAAGAAACAGCAATTTAGCAAACATTTTGATTTCATTACTTGATACCAACCATCTCAAACAGGAGAAGCCATCGACTGGAACCAACTGTCTCTCCTCGTCCACGCCCTTCACCAAACAGGCCCCGCCCTCGCTTCCGTTGCCTCCTCCTGCAGCATCCTCCCAACGCCGTCTTGCAGCGACTGTTCCTATGCCTCGGTGGAGTCCTCAGCATCATCGGACACACTGGCCTGCCGGCCCAATCACCTGGTGTCGCTCGCCGGTCAACAGCTGGCTCAGACGCTGACGAGATTCCAAGAGTTTCTTGCAAGCGAAGAGCTTAGCAAAACTCTGGATAGTACAGGTACCCAAATTGACTAGGTTGTTGTTTTATACACTTATGCTCAACCATTAAGCACTTGCACTACATTTTATTGCATTGTATTTACATTGTATCACATTTTATTACATTGTATTACATTGTATTACATTGTATTACTACTACTACCGGGACTTCTACTGCACAAGACCATCAGGGGGTTGTAGTGACCTCCAACCTCCCCTGATCAGAAGCAAGGGATCAGTAATCACTTGGGAGCAACTGGACAGTATTGGCTACCTGCTCCGGTAAGCCGGCGACGACTGCAAGGTCTTTCCAGTCAGTGGGCTGATGACCATGATGAAACTGGACGGCAACATCCAAAGCAAGTCTAGCAGGGGCCAGAGTTCGGAGGCACCTTTGACCAAAGAGGGAGCTCGTGCCGGCCGCCTCCAAGAGATTTCAGATACAGTGCTTCCAAACCCTGCTCACTGATTAACTTCCATGTTGGGGATGGAGTGGAACTACTTAATATGTAAAATGCGACGAAGACATTGCATGTGTTACATTGTATTTTTGTTTTGACAGTTTAGGGTGGTACAAGGAGTATCAAGCAGGGCGGTTTTGGGCGGTACAGGGACGGATGTGCTACAAGTCCAGTTAATAGTTCACGTGAATGCCAACTTGAAGCACATTAGCAAGGTTACCGAATTTTGACTACGTTAAAGGAACATTTACCTTTTACCCACTTAAGGTTCACTTAGTGTCCCCCTGTCACCCAATACCCAAATAAAAATGTATGGGTGTGGGTCTTGGGTTGCTACTTAATTCCCTATTAGTTAACAGTCCTTAGTATGAAAAAAGCCTCCAACTCTTGTTGTTGTAACAGGTGTTTTGCCCCCACTTATCAGGGTGCATGTGGTGTTCCCCTGTCGCCCAACACCCATATTTAATTGTATGGGTGCGGCTCTTGGTAGCTACTTGACTTTAGTTAACAGTAAAAAAATTGAGGAAAGCCTGTAGTTCTTGAGGTTATAACGGGCGCCTTATACCCAAAAATATTAAGGTGCTTGTATTGTCTGTGTCCCCCCCCCCCCCCTCAACCGGCACAAAATTTACATAGTTAACATTCATTAGTTTGAGGAACGCCCAAATTTGTTGAGGTTGTAACGGGTGCCTTACATGTATACGCATTTCTCAGGGTACTTGCTGTGCCCCCTGTCGCCTAACACCCAATTTACATGTGTCCGTGCGCTCTGCAGGTTGCGACTGGCCTAACAGTCATTAGTATGAAGAAAGCCACCAGTTCTTGAGCTTGTAACAGGTGCTTTGTACCCGCTTATCAGGGTGTGTTAGGTGTCCCCCTATCACCCAACACCCATTTAAATTTATGGGGTAGGGTGTGGCTTTTGGGTAACTACTTATCTATTACATGTAGTTAACAGTCATTAGTTTGAGGAAGGCTTGTAGTTATTGAGGCTGTAGCAGGTGGCTTATGTGCCCACTTATCAGGGAGCATTTAGTGTCCCCCTGTCACCCAGCACCTAAATTTAAAACTTTCGGGTGTGGCTCGTGGGTAGCTACATGCCTATATACTTAACTGTCATTAGTTTGAGGAAAGCCTCCAATTCTTGAGGTTTTAACAGGTGCTTTGCACCCACTTATCAGGGTGCGCTTGGTGTGTCCCCATTTCACCCAAAAGCTAGTCAATAGGCCATATTTTAGAGCGAATGAGGAATGCTGTAAAATTCCATTTTGGGAGTACCGGTACAAGCGAATTTGAATTCAAGTTTATCGATGCGAGTTTTCATGTCGCTAAAATGAAAAAGTAAACTTTGACGTGAAGTTGAATTTGCTACTGTTTTTGGAATGAAAAATGGCGTCAGGTACAACGCCCTTAATTACTCACCCCAAAATTTTGCTTTCTGTGCAGTATTCAAACGGGCCAGTTTGGTACAGTAGTACGTGCTTATTGGGGTACGTGGAGTGTCCCAACTTGTCACCCCTACGCCCAGAATTTTGGGTGTGGTTCTGGGTATTACATGTACATGTAATTGGTCTTACAAAATACAAAAGTCCCTGTTGTAGAAGTTTGAAAATCAGAGTGGCTACAATATTTTTCCTGCTTTTCGTGGTACGTGTGCTGTGTCCCCCTCCCTCCCTCCCTCCCCCCCCCCCCCCCCCCCCAACCTCTCTCTTCCCCTTCACTGTACCCTGTCGACCCCATGTCTAGATGTCTCAGTTCTTGTCTGGGGGTATTGCTACCGGCTTGCCGTGTACAGTCATAGGTCTGAGGAAAGCCCCTGACTTATGCTTGACCTAGTCTCTGAACTTGAGTGCGCTGTCATGTATCTGACCTTGAATCTACTGTAGAGACCCGACAGGGTTTTAAAGGCATAGGATCATTTGCATTTATCCCAAAAGTAAGTGAAGTCTGTCACGGGCCAATGTGGCCCATCAGGCCGGCATTTATCTCCGGTTTCAGTAGCATGAAACGACTGAGAATATTTCTACTCCCCTTGGATGGGATGCTAGTCCATCGCAGGTTACTCCCCAGCTAATGCCAGTACCCATTTACACTCCTGGGTGGAGAGGGGCAAGTGGGGGTGTAGTGGCTTGCCCAAGGACACAACATATGGCCAGCAGCTGGATTCAAACCCCTGACCCTCTGATCATGAGTCAAATATCCCAAAAGTAACCTACCGAATTATTATCAAAAAGCTTACTTGGATTAGAGATCATACTAGTACTCAACACCCCGTGAAATTGTTGCGAATGGCTTGCTGTCAGTTAGAAGAAATCAAGAAAAATAGGTGATAATATCCAATGCTCTCTTAGACTGATCATTGCAATGATCAGTCTAAGACTAAGAGAGCTATAGCTGAAATGGTGTTTCGTGATCAAAAGGTTGTGCATGGTTTTTCACTATTTTCTCAAAAAAGTGTATCCACTGAGTTGATACTTTAGCAAGTAACTGGTTTTGGACATTCTTCTTTAATTTTTTGAGTGGCGTTATTATTGGAAATGAACAAAATGCATGAAAGAGCAAATGATCGTGTATGCCTTTAAAGACTTCACAGGGTTTTAAGAAAAAGAAGTACATGTACATGTAAAGGACGTGAAGAAAAATAAGGTTGTTCTCTAGCATGCTTTCTTACACATGCCACCTCAAGGGTGAACAAAACCCATTCACCACATCGCACTAATCCCTTTGACAAGACGAGGTAAATCTAGTAAAGCCCAGGTATGCAACTTTTCCTCGGATCTGCTGATTTCCTCGTTTTTTACTTCTCATGAATGCCATTACAAATTGAAAAACACTGTACAAAGTCTTGTGTGGTTTGGAATTTCCTCGTTTTTTCTAAATTCCCAGTTGCATGCCTGAAAGCCAGAGTACATGACATTGTATTCAATAGCTTTTCACTCAAAGTCTTTTCATGCATCTGGTGTAAATGGGCCGTATTTAGCCCATTATTGGGTAATCCTATACAACAGCACTGCCCGGCTCGATTCACCAGCCAAGAACCAAGTTAAGTCACCAGTGACAGTGATTGAGTGATCAGTCAGTCAGTCAGTCAACCATGTACAAAAAGGACTATACGGTAGGTTGGCCCCTCTGGGACCAACAAACAGTCTGGGCAATACCAGTTTGAATGCAGGGATTTTAATAAACAGCTCCGGGATACTAGACTTTCACATTTTTCCTCACAAACACTCACTGTCGGCCTAACCATTTACTGAACATGCAGTCATGTAACAAACATGTTACAATTTTTAAACTCTCGATTCAAGGACAGTGTTCCATGCCGTTTAACCGTCCCTGCAATGCCCATTAAATTGGAGCCAATTCGCTGAGGATGGAGTAATGATTAGGTCCCGATTTCACCCGATCCCCACAGTCATTCACAAGGTGTTGAGAGAAGTGCAGTAACCGTACCTAACCCCTTGTACCTCATGGGACCCCAATTCAGTAGCTATGAGGTACAGACCATGAACCCCATTGATTGCATTTCCGAATCCCGACCATCTCTTAAACTCTCCCAAATTCCCCGGTGGCAACTCTTGTACAAATTCAGGAAATTAAACGTCAATTCCCCCTTTCCTTTTGGAAGTGTTTCTATAAGCTGTCACTGTATGAAAGTTTATTCCAAAGTTTGGACTGGTTATTTCGTAATGGTTTTGGTGAGGGAAAAAATCCAGCAATTGTGAATTTGGGGATCTGAACCTTCTCACTTCTGTTTTAAAAAAAGCCAAATAGGCAAAAAGTCAGGATGTACATTGTAGTCGAGTCAGTCCCTGCAAGTCCATCACAAGCCCATCACAAGCCCATCACAAGCCCATCACAAATCCATCACAAGTCCATCACAGGTCCATCACAAGTCCTTCACAAGTCCATCACAAGCCTATCACAAGTCCATCACAAGTCCATCACAAGTCCATCACAAGTCCTCCAGTCCCAATTCAAATCACAAGCTGTTCAGATGAGTTTTTCAAAGGCATTCCTTTGTTATTGTTCGTCCATTGTTTCCTGTGACTGGACTTGGGAATACAGTAATGGACTTGTGATGGGCTCGACAACATCCCTGCAAAAAGTACCTAATAACAACCCATCAAAATAAATTCCTATCTCATGATCTCCTTGAAAAAAATAACCTGTTTTCTTGATTAGGTAAAAGTCCTAACTGCAAAAGTGAAAAACCCTGTCCGAAATTCCGATCACTCCGACATTTTATTAGTCATTTCCCCTCACTCAGCTAATCTGTCTCTTCAGTTTTGCTCAACAATGCATCATCAATCCCAAGCTTAAGATTCGGTCCTTCACAAGCTTTCAAAAATATTTGTCATTCCCCAAACCCTGGAAATTATTAGTCTCGGTCCGAGACAGAATTTGAATTTTGTTCCCCTAATGCAATCCTGTCTCGGATCGTGCACAAGGGGAACAAACAAAATGAGTCTAGTCTTGGATCACGACTAGCTAATGAATCATTTAACGGTCATTTTAAGTATTACTCAGTAGTTAGTACTATATATGAGGTCATTGCAAGTCCAAGCAAGTACTTTGCCCCCCCCCCCCTCACCCAAACCCTACCCCAACACCCCTTCTATAATCTGGGTATTTCTGCTGACTAACAATCCCATGGCTTTGCCCCCTTCCAAACCCATTTCCCCTCCTCTGGGGGTGCGTGAGAGGGCTGATTGACAGGGGTACAGTGAGGGGGACAGATAAGGGGTCGGGGTGTGTCCCTATACCAACAGACAAGGTACCAAAATGTACCTCAGTAATCCTTCGTTAAGCTAGGTGTGGCCTTGTGTAGGCACCATTTTTTTTTAGAAGGGTGCGGTGCGGCTAAAATTACTGAAGCACCATAGTAAACAACAAAGTCATTTATTTTGAATTTGATTTTGTCCCAAGCTTTGTGGCTTCAACAATCTTAATGAATTTAGACCTTATATTTTGTTTAAATCCAGCTCACACGTCTGTTTTCTGCATCAGTATACAAATAATTGTCGAATCATAAAACCCGACTCCATTATTTGGAGGTTTTTACATTTTGGTCGAAAAATTGAAGACCTTATTGATCCGCGGCTGGAGAGGAGGCCGTAGCTAAGGATGCATCCTAAGTTTCACTAATGGCATTCCAACATATTAAAGAACGTTTGTCAACTGGTTTCATTGTTATCATTCAAGAAAATAATAGTGTAACGTTAGTCCAGTTTCACTCAATGAAATAAACACCCGAATAAGTAAATTTCCATCACTAAACATTGATTGAATACGTGTGTATACTACAGGGTGTGGGGACTATTGTTTTAGTGAAGTTCTACATAGCCTATGTAGCACTTTCAAAATCTGGATATGAAAGCCCAATTCATAAGCTTTCTTTTATTTCAAGAATCATTCAAATCACTCATGCACTTTTTAAGTTACAGAACTTTTAAAAACAGCCACCGTTTTAAAAGTTCTGTCCATGGATCACAAAAAAGGTGTGCGTTCTTTCAGCAAAACGAAACAATTTGCACACATCCCTATGTGATTTGTTCTTGTTTTACTGAAAGAACACTGAACTGTTTTGTGATCCGTGGTCAGAACCTTAAAACGGTGGTTGTGTTTAAAACTCCGTAACTTAAAAGTACATGAGTGATTCGAATGATTCTTGTACTAAAAGAAAGCTTATATGAATTGGGCTTTCATATCCTAGATTTTCAAAGTGCTACATGCAGAACTTCACTAAAACAATGAGCCCGACCGTGATTTGGGTTTTTGTTTTTTGGGTGTTTTTTTTTGGACTCACCCTGTAGAATACAATCTTATGTAATCAAGGCATTCAAAACTTTGAAAAGCGAAGAAAAAAGAAGACTAAACTTGAGGTAAGAGGAATACCTAAAGTTCTACACATACTCAAGAACAAGTGAAGGAAATTTCATTAGCTTCCACAAATCTCATTTCACGGCTGGTGACATAATCGTTTGTGCGAGCAGTTTGTCCGGTGCAATGAATGTCCCACAGCATGTGGTAAAGTCATTTCAGCGGTAGCTTTGTACTAAAGCTATGCGGTGTGTAGGTAGCTACAGTGGTATCACCCTAATGCGATTTGATGGCAGTTTTTACATCTGTTTATCACACATAGTCTCACGTTGCATTGTAAATTGCTAAATTAGTATTGAAACGAAGTGGTGAATAGGTTTGATAATGTTGCATGCAGAAAAAGCCCGCTGCGAAGCTGCACTTTTTTTAACATCAATATCGACATTTCAGATGTTATCCTTTCTGCTTCACTTCCCTTTAAAATGTTGTAATAAAGATGTAAATAACACTTGTAATATATGTACATGTGTAAAGTTGAACTGACTGGAGGGGGCTTGGATCTGCGACCTCCTGATTGCCGTTCCGGTGCTCTACCAACTGAGCTATCCAGCTCTATACGTTGGCGTTTTCCGAGTTGATTCATCAGAAGCCATAAACCCGTATATGCCATGTAGCCAGAGATCACGCCCAAAGTCACAATGCTAGTAAAATTTGAATAGAATATATTATGGAAATCACAATAGTCTTTGGCTAATATAATTGTATTGCTTTACATTACAATGACCTTAATTTTTATTTCTTGGTGTCTTAACAATAAAAAATATCAAGATTGGAGTGTCTGTATTGGAGAAGACAAAGCAACCAT